AAAAGCCTTTATTCGTGATCCCTCCCAATTATACTAATAGCTATATAAATCTTGGTTATACGTTAAGTTCTTGTTTAGAGGGCTATTATCTAGTTCTTTATGTTATAACAAATGGCTAGCTATCTCTTAAACAGTCTGCTAAACGCCTTACAAAGACAGTATTAAAGATACTAAAACAGCTTGATTTAGATAAAGATACCTCTGAACAAGATCGCCCTTGTTGTCTTTAATAAGATAAAGCTGTATTTCGATTTCTATTTAATGAAATTAGTCTATTTGCTCTTAACAAGCTTGCAGATAAGTGGGAACTAATTAAGGAGATAGTTACTAATCAAGGAGATTTAAATACTAAGCTCTGTTATTATTAACTGCCTCTTTGATGGTATCTCCCTGCAAACATTCCCTTTTCGGCCTTGTAATTGTCACGGAGTTGACATGAAGGCCTCCTGGGGCCTAGATGGAGTCGTGGTCCGACTCTCTCTAGGGCATCTAGATAAGGATTAATATACTATTCCAACTGCATTCAAGTAACTTTGGTTACTTAGGCGTAACTCTCTTATGAAGTTGGATCACTATCTCAGTAATGACTGGCCAGCCTATCCTGAAGTCTTTAATACACCTTTGTTAGTGGATTAAGGGCTCTGTTATTCGATTCAGTGGCTGGATACTGATAAATCAAGAGAGTAACAAAATTAGGATAAGAGAGTCTAACTATCTCTCTCTACAGCGCTGACAGCACACCTCTATAGGTCAACACCTTTTGACGATCAGAGATGCCTTATCTGGCACAGATAGAGCCTATATCAATGATGAAATCGCTCAAAATGATAGACGAATACTTGGTTTAGCTTAGGCTGCGTACGAGGGCCGTGGTATCCTTATTACTAACCCTCTCACTGTGCCAAAGAAGAAGTGGGTACCCAAGAAGTTGCACGGCAAAGCGAACGCCAGAGCTCTTACAGGACTAGAAATAGCTGCAAGAGAGCTTAACGCTTGCGAACGCGAACAACGGCTGCAAGAAAGGGATCAGCTTGCTATCAACATGGCTTTGGGCCCTTCTACTGCAACAGATATACCCCAATTTGGCTTAAGAGATGTTGCTGTGGTAACAGGGCAGCAGAATAAGATACTCGTTATCAAAGCGACTCCGCCACCCCCAGAGAAGCTGGTTGTCAGGGCAACGCCTCTACAGGATAGCCTGCCTGCGCCCCAGGAGGAGGATCCCTTTGTTCTGCCTGCCTCAACAGCTCCTGCTCTGTTGCAGACGAATGTACGGCCTAAAAGTGCTAGAGGGGCTACTTTGAACTACAAGGCGATGCATGAGGGCAAGCAGAATCAGCCAAAAAGGGCCAAATAGACTAGATAATAGATATAACACCGCAGTACGTATCAAGAATCCCAAATAGGAAATAGGATGACCGTCAATAAGGTCAAAAATATGTCCTTGACTCTTGCATATACTGTGGGGACTTCGCGATCAACCCGCCACCTAATTTTGGTGGGGCATTTATCACGGAGTGCCAAGGGCCGAATAATTTTCATCTGAATATGGCTGTCGAATATGGCTCTCCCGAGACAAGCCGTACCTGGACAGGGGTGTAGAATGCCTCAATTAGCGCTGTCGATCATCTTTATTTGACATTGCCACAACTTCTGCCCAAGCATCTCGCTAGAGTACAGTTTTGGAGGAGGAATTCTCTGAAGCCAGCGTTTTATAGATCTTACATAATTATTTATTTCTTCTTTGTGAAGATCGAATTCTGATTGAAAGAGCTTCTGTGAACAACTTTGTTTGAGCTTAAAATCTGTCAAAGACGCTAATTGAGGCATCAGGTACGGAGGGGATACCCTGCTCCTGGTCAAGAATTGTGTATGCTATGTTCTTCTAGACACCTCCGGCTCTCAGAATATAGCCCTGAGCTCTGTAGAAGGTAAGAGGTGCGTAGGCTTTTCTTTCAAGGAGCACGTAGGAAATAAATTAAATCTCACATAAGATCTACAAATACGATGCAGATCACTGAGATGCTCCACATATCATGACTATGAGTGATCTCTTTATGAGATTTGCATAGGATGTGCAACGCTGGCATCCGCTCAAGCCAGCAAGACCTCCTTGGGTGGTAACTCTGTCTCGTACTCGATCTCCACCCTTGCCGGCTTTTTCCTCGCCTTTGGCAGTGGTGCTTGTCGTTTTCTTTTAGCGCCTACATCAGGCTCGCCTTCATCGCCATCCTCAGCTTCACTACTTTCATTGCTGTCCTCCTCGTCGCTATCCTCGTCTTCGTCGTCTTCATCTTCTTCCGCACTTTCTCCACCCAGCCAATCCTCAAAATCTTCCATTTCCTCTTCTTCTTCGTCAAGATCGCTGACGTATTCCACCTCGCCCACTCCCTCTTCAGCTTCCTCATCTTCCAGCTCCTCCCCTTCAACCTCTTCCTCACCCTTCTCTGCCCTCTCCAAGCCTCTCAAAACCTTCTTCCAAACATTCTCCTCCACGTTCATAGGACGATCGCCATAAGCACCACTCCTCAACCTCTCAATCAGTTCCCTCTCGATAGCCCTCTCGACCTTGGCCGCGCTTTCCGCCTTTCTCTCTCTCGTTTCCTCCCGTCTCTTCACTTTCGCGGCCAATTTGGGTACGATCTTCTCCCCTAGCCTTTCCTCCTCCTTTGCTAACCTCCTCGATCTGATCGCCACCTGCGTCAGTCTAGTGAGGCGCTGCTTGCATTTGTGTATCAAGAATTTGGGCCAATATATCAGCTTGTCATCGATCTGGGCCAATGCTTTTTCGTAGTTGTTTGAAAGGCGAATGCGTTCCCACCATTTTGAGGGTAAGTGAGCTCGCTCAACCGTCTTGATGTAGAGGTGCAGGGCTCCAGTCGAGGGATCGGGGCGGACAGTGGCGTATCGGGAATTCGCTAAAGGACATGACTGGCGGGAGCAGAAGCCTGTGACGTTGTGTTCGTTGCGGCAAAAGTTTTGGGATTTGGTGTTGAGTCTGCGATACTATTAGGATTACTCACTCGTTCGTAGGGTAAGTGGGCACACTTGAGTTTGAAGGAGCAGAATTGCTGGTTGATCACCTGCCAGACTATCTCGTCGGATGCCATTCTTGGAGATACACCTGACGGGGTGTGCGAAGTCTAAAACCGTGTAAAACAACCCCTCCAAAATTAAAAAATTCCGGAGGTTTAAGTATGCTAAGGTTTTATTACCTCAGTAGTGGTATTTGTGATACATCATACATACAGCAGCGACCTGGCCGCCTCCTCCACTACTTTTATGCCATTTCACCTTCGCTCCTCCACAGCTGAACGAATCGCCCCTGGAACAGTACGCAAGCCCGTAGGTCTGCCTCTTCCATTCGTAGCATTCCATACTTCGCCTTCTCCCCTCAAGTTCTCCAACAGACCGCCACCATGCCTCGCGCCGAGATAGGCTCCACGAAGCAAATCTCCAATCAGATGAAAAGCAAAGGCCTACAACGCCTGCGCTGGTACTGCCAAGCCTGTTCACGGCAGATGCGCGACGAAAACGGCTTCAAATGCCACGTCTCGTCCGAATCGCACGTGCGGAACATGATGCTCATCGGCGAAGACCCGCGCAAAGCCATCAACGAGTTCTCGAGTCAATTCCAGTCGGACTTCCTCAAACTGCTACGCACGGGTCACGGCGAGAAGAAGATCAATGTCAATCACTTCTACCAGGAGTATATCAGTAATAAGGAGCATGTGCATATGAATGCGACGAGGTGGGCGAGTTTGACCGAGTTTGCGAAGTTTCTTGGGAGGGAGGGCATCTGTCGGGTCGAGGAGGAGGAGGCGGATAGTAACGGACGGGGTGGGGGGTTGATGATTAGCTGGATTGATAATAGTCCTGAGGCGTTGAGGAGGCAGGATGCGTTAAGGAAGAAGGAAAGGCAGGATAGAGGGGATGAGGAGAGGGAGTGGAAGGGTATAAAGGAGCAGATTGCCAGAGCGAGGAAGGAGGGGCAGAGTGGGGAGGAAGATGAGGATGAAGAGGCAAGATACCTACAGCGGAAAGAAGGTGAGAAGATCAAGTTGAGTTTTGGTGCGAGGAAACCTGCATCCGCCACAGAAGAGGAGAGACGGAATGCAGAAACGAAACCTCCTTCGCCGCCGTTGACAGAGAACGAAGAGCTGAGCAGCGAGGACAACCCCACCCTCAAACCAGACTCGACCTTGAGGGAGACCAACACAACCTCACCTCCAGCACCCGCCAAACTCTCTCTCAAATCGTCAGCTTCGTTCACAACGCCAAACCCTAAAAATGTCTTCGCCTCAGCACCAAAGAAGAACCCTCTCGCTATGGCCAAGAAACCGAGACCGGCCTCGGTACTCTCCAAACCAATGAGCGAAGCTGAACGTATCATGAGGGAGGAGATTGAACGGAAGCAAAGAAGGGAGGCGAGTGGTGGAGGAAATGCGTTCAAGAGGCAGCGAGTTTCATGACTGAATGATCTGCCGCAAGGCGAAAGGTGCACAATTCTAGGTTCAGCGAGGGCGTCCAGGTGGTAAGGCATGTAGAGAATACATAGCAACTGTTCTTGTCCAATGATATCGTAGCATCGACGACACACTTCTTGTTCTCGCCGGCTCCATTCCCTTATAGACATTACTGTGAGGTTTGTAGATATGTAATCTCACGCCGTATGCACACTCCCGGAGAACCTCACCTTCAGGGTAGCATTATTCGCCAAAAGAACCTCACATGCCAACGCAACTTGCAACATGCCAAGTCAGAGCCAAATGCATCACCGTCCAACCAAGGTGATTTCGCTAACATTCAACTCTCCACCTCCACCAAATAGCAGAACCTCCTCCTCTCCTGCCCCTTCAGCACCAATCCCTGACAATACCGCATCAACGCCTCGTCCGGCACACTCAAATGTTCCAGTTCCGCCGAATCGCCTCTTCTCACCTGCCGTCTCTTCCTCACCATCTCTCCAAACAGCTTCTCCCCAGGCGTTACGACAAGATATACGTCTTTGCCCTTGGGAAGGAGCAGGGTTTCCGTTTCAGCAGGGGTGGCCCATTGGAAATCTTGGTTTGTGGTGTCGGTTTCCCACGATGTGCGGGAGGAGGGGGGTTCGGAGCCGTTGAGGCCGTGGATTGGGGTCCGAAGAAATGATGAGGTGGTGGTGGTGCGGATGTGGTGTTTTGCGGATTCGAGTGGTAAGAAGGTTGATGGTTTCGGTGGCGAGGGGTTGAGGATAGCGAAGCGGATATCTGCATCGTGGTTGAAGGATACGAATGTATCCACTAGGCTGTTGAATTTAAGTCGGAAAGTTGTGAAATTTCGAGGGTCGTAATTGAACGTGAAGCTGTTGGAGACACGGAAGATCTTCGCTTTCATACCTCGATGGATATTCTGGTTGGAGAGGTGGTTGATAACTTGTTTCTCAATTCGATGCGGCACGTTGGGGATGACGGTGACGGATTTGGATTGGCAGAGGGTGACGGAGGGGTGGCAGGCTAGGTCGTGAGAGCGAGAGGAGAGGTCGCGGCAGGCTTCGCTGCAGAAGCGGGAGATCTGACATTTTTGACAGAGGAGATTGGTTTGGTATTTGCAAGTTCCGCATGGTCCTGTGCTTTTCAGCCCCCAGGCCTCTTTCTCACCTGCGAGTACTTTCTTTCGCTCTTGTAGGGCGCCGAGTCGTGCTCTTACGTTTAGGGCTCGTGTTCTGCCATCTTTCGCGTCTGGCGATCGGAGCGCGAGTTGGACTAAATTAGTATAGGCATTATGGGCGGCGTCGATACTGTCCATGCATTCAAGAGCAAGACAATAGCCATGTAGGGCATCGAGACCTGTTGTGTTGTATTCTCCTTGAAGCTTTCGGCGAGCATTATAGACAAAGTCGAAGAGATCTGAGGCATCAGGTAGGAGGCCTGCGAGCATATAAATCCGAGCTAGGCTTTGCAGAACCCACAGATTCTTTTGAGTGGGATGCGTTCGATAGCTCTGCAGAAGTGCTGAGACATCCGGAGGAAAGTCGTAATTTTGTGTATGCTGCATGTATTCACAGAGCCAATTTCGAGGAAGCTCGTCATCCGGTTCACAGACGTTTCGTAGGTAAGGGAATGCACGACCATACAATGCTAAAGCTTCGTCGTGAGCCTTCTGCTGAACATAAATATTGCATAAGCGATCCACGATAAGAAGTGTCACTTTGTGATCAAGGCCTAGCTGAGTTTCGAAACCACCTAGGCATTTTTCGTATAGCAACTGTGCCACTGTCAAGCTGCCCATCTTAGAGTAGACGGCAGCAAGCTCTTGCATAGCCATAAACGTGTCGTTCTCGCCCGGGCCCGAGATCTCCATTCTTGCGAAAAGAGATCTCTTATATACTTCGGCAGCTTGTGGCATCTGATCATTTTCTTCATATGCAGCAGCAAGAGCTGTGAGAAAGTTGATGTTGTTCAGATCCTTGCGGCCATAACGATTGTATGAGATGGCGAGTGCTTTTAGATAATATCTCTCTTCGTCATCCGGTCTGTTTAATCTCGCTGACAAGTGCGCAAGATTTGAGAATATAGCCGCATGCCAAATGACGTCTGGAAAAAGCATTGGATGTTCACGAAGGAGATTCAGAACCTGTCGATAGCACCAAAATGCATCCCCATAATCTCCATCTTGCGAGCTCAGGAACGCTCGTGTTGATAGTACGCTGACTTTAGTCTTCGCCCAACTGGTAACAGGTGTATGCCTTAAAGCTGATGTTATTTCATTGACTGTCTCCGCACTGATATATCTCGCATTGCCAGCAGTATCTTGTATAAGAGTACCCTCTGGAAAGGCAAAAGCTTGGACCGGGATGATGCTGGAATCAGCATCTGAACCAGCGGGTGGTGTCATGGCCATCAATCGATCGCACTCTTTTCGAACTGTTTTGAGATCGCCTTTGTTTGCAGCAGTACTCACCTTTTGGAGGACAGCACTTAGCATTAGATGCCCGTCAACGACCAAGGCTTCTTTGACAGCGGAGTCCCTTCGGAAGGTGTGACGGAAGGAAGACCGTTGCTTCATATCTGAACAGGTTAGCCCATACCCTTTTTACGGAGATATGCCTTACTAGACTCGAGTTGCGGTTCGGATTTTGTCCTTCGAAACAGTTTTCGTATTGACGGCTTCTTCTTTAGCCCATTTGGCTGCGGAGCGGTACGCTCAAGTTGCTCGCCTGGTTTGAGGAAATTACATGGCTGATCCCCCTTTCTGGTAGATGATGTAGTACAACGAGAAGACGTCTGGCTTGGCGATTTTCCTTCTAAGGCGTCCAGGGCATCTGCGACGTAAACCGTTCGTGTTTCTTTCTGAGGGTGCAGGTAGAAAGGTTCAACTTCTCGAAAGACTCCGTTCGGAGCGTGGATCCTTTCAAGATCTTCTGGGCTGATAAAGCTGATCGCCACAAGCTCTCTATCTGGCTCGGAACTGTCTACTAGACTATTCAGTTCTGCATGCACTGCCATAGTGAAACAACCTTACCTTGTCCACGGCCGTCTTCGACTGGATTTTCTGGGATGACCGACAAGTCCTCATCGGCAAGAAAAACAGACTTTCCTCCAAAGTCGGCCACTCCGGCTCTGGATTGCCCCCTGTACAGAGCTTTGCTTTGAAGCTTCAGACCCGGCAGCTTCCTCCGACACCTGTTTCGATGGTGACGGTGCTCCATATCGTCGTGCCATTGATAATGCGATTCGAGCTCGGTCGTGGTACTGAGCAATCTTTCGCAATGTAAGCACTCTATCTGAGGCAATGGATGGCTGAGCTCGTGGACCTTCTTCTGTACACGATTGCTGAAGCTCAGGTGACATTTCTGGCACTTGATGCTGCTGTATTGTCCGTTGAAAGGGAGGTATTTCCTGTCGATTCGATAGCCACCTGGCTGGCGCACATCTCGATACAAAGCAAACGCTAGGGCGGCACTTCCAGGACAGAATCTAGACTGAGTATGTAGGTCACAGTCCTTCTGAGTCGAGAAGATAGCCTCGCAATCGGCACATTTGTAGTCTCGAGTTGTGTGGGATATATCCCCCGTCTTCTCAATATCGAATGCTGGGAACCTTGCCACCACATCCGCTAAAGTCTTGATGACTGGTAAAGAATGGCTGCTTGTCGGTGGTAGAGGTGAAATGGTATCAAAGTTGAAATCGAAGTCGGGAATACTGTGCTCGCTGAATACTACAGAGACTTTCGCAATGTTCTGGCCCTTGGACGGTGAAGACGGGAATTCGGTAGTAGTAGCCGACTCGGGCGCGCATGGACCGGATCGATTACTGTGCGAGGTGATAGATCCCCAAGGCGGTCTCTCGTGAATAGTATATTTTCGAGGTCGCCTTTGCAACTGGGCTTGGCGTTCGGTGTGCCACGAAGTATGGGCTTCAAACGCTGACCTGGTATTCGGTGCCAAATTAGTCTTTGATCCGAGATAGTGTACCAAGATCCCCGCTGTCACAACGTACACTTCAGAGAAGCTCTTTCCGCAGTGCTGGCACTCCATTGCGCATGTTGTAGGTGGATATTGACAGGAGGAGCAACTCACACACCACAGGCTGACAGCTTACTATGGAGCCGCACCAACCCATCATGTGGAGACCTGAAAATGAGAACTGGAAACAGGGTCCGGTGGCGCCCATCCTGTTGAACTAAGCGAGGGCCTACCTTGGTTCTTGCAAGCACCCAGTTCGACGTTACTACGGTACATGCCAGCACTGAATGGGAGATCGAGTACGCATAAGGGGTAAGGCTTGGCCATGCTATTTTGGCAATTTGGATACGGGCAAGGCTTTACCCAGAGCGGAATAACCAGGCCTGTCCAAGCATGGGCCTGTCCAATGGACCGCTTGGGCTGCAAGCTGTCTGGTGGGTACACTAAAACCGGGGTATCTGATCCTGGGAGGTGTAACTCGATCGCTGCTAGTCTAGGACTAGCGACCATGAGCTAGCAGCAGATCGTGGGGTGGGTGACAGCTCATACGCATCTCTAACCGAGTACTCGGGACATCAGAGTGCGTGAGATGGGGGCAACCCCTCCTGTCGTACCATGGATTCCGTACTGCGCCTGCTGCTGGGACCTCCGGACCATGGAGTTGCTTTCACTCATCACTTATGTGGTGACTCGATCGATGCATACTACGGTACCAGGCCTAATTTTTGTACCCCCCTTGTCGAAAACATTAGTATCCGCACAAACGCGCTATACAGATCGAGTATAGACGCCCAGAAATCCTCAACATAGGACTAACCTCTAAAATCAAGTTTTTACTTTTTATTGATATCTATAACTGCTTGACATCTCGTCTGCATCAACTGAAGCAGCTTCTTAAGATAGTTAGAAGACATAGCACTACATATAATATTAATAGAAGATGGCTATCCCTCCGTACCCAAGATGTGTCAATTAGCGCCTTGGCATAAATTCAGTACCCATAAGGTGCCCGGAAAGGTACCTAATATATGCCAAGGCGCTAATTGACACATCTTGGGTACGGAGGGATAGCCATCTTATCATTAGATCTATTAGCATCTATGTAGAATTAACAGAATGCATACGGAGTACTCCGTAGAATGAGCAGAATTTGCAGGATGAGCAAATTTCGTGCAAACTAGTAACAGGGATGCTGACAGGGATACGTATGTAAAAAAGATGTTTGTAAAATATTTTGACCAGGGCGGGGGGTACAAAAATTAGGCCTGGTACCGTAGTAGTACTATCTAAGTACTATCTAAGTACTATCTGAGAGCCACATCGATACCATTGGCCAACTCCTGAGAGTGTTGACCTAAAAATGTGGCTGCGGCTCTCTAAGTTCAGTTCTGGAAGTAATAAAGTGGAAGACTGCGAGACCGCCGGACTGTAGCTGTGCGTTGTCCTGAGCATCCGAATTGAGCCATACCGACAAAGCTCTCGAACAGCATCAATAACGTTCCGCGCCCCAAGCGCCTGTGGACTATTACACACTATCCACTAATCCCTACTCATCTAATCATAGCTTCATCTAAGTTGCCTGGACTAGTATGATGCAGAGTTCCGCGAATTCTAAGCGCCATGACTGAATGCTCGTGACGAGAACCAAGCATCTGGAGCAAAACTGTGCTGATGTTGGGCATCATGATGGGCGCCCTGCAACCTCAGCAAAGTACAGCTTTAATCATAACGAAGCCATGCAAATAGGAGAAATAGTTATCTCTTTATTTGTTCAAAGCCTATACAATGTATATCAAGAGCTTGTCTTGTTCCAATCTGCGTCTGCAAACTTCAAATTGAATGCTGTCCGAGTCGAGTCGACTGCTTCATGTATTATGACCACCTTTACTCATGGAAAAGTTTTGTCTGGAGCCCCCCAAACCGTATGCTCCCGTCCTTATCAGCCGGAGACTGAGTCCAGTTCTTCTTGATTCTTGACCCTTGACCCTTGACCAAATCCATTCACCAGCAGTAAGGCTGACCTCATCGCCATCATCCTTCTTGAGTCCCATTTGACGAAGAAGCGGACTATCCATAATGGTCAGGTCAATCGAATCAGTCGACCGGACAAATTACAACTATCCCAACCGGTCGGCATGTGCCTGATCTTTGGGAGGAACCGCAACTCAGTGCCAATTACTATTTAGGAATCCATTGGTCCAAAATTGTAGCACATCGGCTGGGTTGACCACAATGCTACCAGGACGAGGCTTGAAATGCTTCCAACCCCTTTCAGGCGTTCTTCACCTGCAACGCTGCCACAGGGTGTGATAAGTCAAAGGTGAGGCTTCCGAAATCAGTATGACAGCGGAGGTAGAGGTCTTGGAAGATCTCATTTTCCTCGGCAGTGCGTGCTAAATACCTCCTGTAGCGTAAGAAGCAGTCACTGTTGTCTGCATGTAAGTGGCCTTTGATGAGAAAGTCTTCCGGAGCTCGAGAATAATCGCAATCATTCGCGGGAGCTTGTACACAATGCTCTCATGAACATAACGACGGGAACCTCTCGATCTTGACGAATTTTCGTTAATCACATCTAGATGTTTTCGCGCTCGTACTGCGGGGTGAATTTGAACACGTTATAGAATTCTACGCTGTCGCCGAGGCCAGGGAGGATCTCAATGGCCCTAAGGGGTCGGTGTCCGTTGTAAGGCTCAGCTTCGAGGTCGGCCCTGTATTGGAGTTTCTCCTCTGGGGAGCTCGGGGGCTTCTGTCCCGATAGCGAATTGCCGGTGGAATTCATCCTGGGAAAGGGCGAAATTGCGGATGTAGAAGAAACCTAAACAGTGGTCGGTCAGTTACATGTTGGAACATTACTCTTCTAGGAGAAGAAGGGCAGATGGGTGATGTCGACCCCATAGAGACGCGTCATACCAATCTGGTGTACACTATCTTTCAATTGCGCTGCAAGCTTCTCTTTTCCGTCTGGGAGGTCGAAATAAGTGAGTTGAGTGCAGTCATGCGGCCATGGCTGCTACAGTGTGATCTCTCCAGGTTCCGTAACAACGTGCGTCATGTAGATGGCGATTGGCCGGGGTTGCAGAATGAGAGGCTTCACACAGCCGTCCGATATGGCCTCACGCAGGCGTTGCTTGCTGCTCACTAGCAGAAGTCATTTCATGTGAGTGGAAAACCCCTAGTTTTGTGGAAGTGTGGTGGATATTCTGGCGTCCTGCCATCGAACCGACCAATTGCAACTGGGTTGTGTGATCGTGAAGCAAGTAGCAGTGCTTCCTCATGCCTCCTTTGTGCATGTGGATGACATCGATCCTCAAAGGTTAGATGCTGCTGGAGTACGTCGGATCTGTGGCAATGCGAATCCAGCAGCGTGAGCCCCACAGTACCATCCCTGCCTGCACTTCGATGTCTACGGAACCCTTAGAGATGCCCTCTCCAATAATGGTGACTTGACCGGCTTCCCAGGCCAACTGGCTAACACTGTCCGACGGTTTGAGCTGCTAACTGAGTCGCGCGTTGTCGCTCCAATCAAGGCTACATAGTTGCAGCACCTTGCAGCACTCCGCTTGACCCTGGCACACCGCCAAATCCAGGTTAAATTGGTCGCGGATGAATGGCGTAACACACTTGAAGATGTCTAGGCATTTGCCGAGGCCGGCGCCGTGGGCCGAATCAACAACAGCATCAATGCAATCTTGTATTGTCGGTCTAGAGGGGTGGGATTTTGCCTCGGGGGTTCAGCAACTTAGATCAACATCTCCGCGCACATTACCTGTTGTAGCAAACTTTTTTCAAGGTCATATTGCAGGCCGTATCCCCCAAGCACCTGCGAACACTTGTCTTGGAGATGAAACTTCGAGACTCCTCGGTGAATACTTTATTGTCCGGAGACCGGTGTGGTGGAGATTCCAGCGTACTTGTCATTTGAAGAAGCCTCGTGTTTGCCCTGTGCGGAACGCTCACTATGGCCTTCTACCGCTCCGGTCTGGTCAGACTGTCCTCCTCCAGGGAACCGGAGGCGTCTCAACATTTGGACTGCAAATTGCACTTGCAGCAGGTGCGATCTCCATTGTGACCACTTCGTCCAATGAGGAATTGGCCAAGCCAAAACGGCTCGGCGCAAGACATGGCATCAATTACCGAGCACATCCTGATTGGGCTAGAGAGATGAAAAAAGCCACTGGTGGCAAAGGTGCAGACCACATTATTGAGATTGGGCTACTCTCAACCTGGGGGTTCCTTTGACGCCATCGCTTATAACGGTCTTATCCACGCCGTCGGCTATGTCACATACCCGTCTCCCGAGGAGGAGAGATTGAGGCTACCTGATGCCGCGCCCTTAACCATGGGCCGCGATTGCATCCTGAGGGGAGTAGTCGTGGGCTCTCGGGAGTAGTGAGGACATGTTTTGCCTCCTTCGCGGCGAATCCTATTCCGACCCGTGATTGATAAAGTTTTCCACTTCGAGTAGACAAAGCAGGCCTATGAGTGCGGGATGTGTTGGGAGCGGTGCATTCGGCGTTTGGGTCTTGGCG